CTGTCGAAGGAGGCGGTAACCATACATCAGGTTTCGAGCAGTCGGCCGCGACCATTGAAGCTCACTATGCCTGTCTCGATGTTACCAAGGCTCTTGCTGCTGCGGGAATCCGGGTGCTCATCGATGATGAATTCCTAGCCAAGGTAAGCGTACTACTGCCCGATTTTCTTTGTTGATCATTAACTCACGCGATATATTTTTGTAGGTCAAGAAAGAATACGACGAAGATACAGAGATTCAAAATTTCATCGCAGGGAAATGAGCCTTGTAAGAGTAGCGCAATTTCTGCGTTTCGAAGCCGTTACCAGTTGAGCCAGGTAGGCGGGAGGGTGGCGGCTCTGTAGGAAACGAGGACCTAAGGGAGAATCATAATATTTGAGATTTACGAGATAGATAGGCTGATTGGCAGCGGCATATATAGTATTGCAACGTACACAGAACAATTAACCCTCCAGGCAGCCTTAATAGTTGATGAGCATAATTCTACTGATCAACCTCATGTCGACCTTCATGTGTGACTCTCGATACATCTGCGTCCGGGACGAGGGAATTCACTACTTCACAAATCTATCTCGTTGCAGATAATGTTACTTATACTTTCGCAAACCACACTTTACCAGCACCCCAGAGCTTGTGCGGGAGATAAGAAAGATCCAGATCAAATCAGTGAACAGATATGGAAAAGGCGTAATCGGCTATCGCCGGCAATGCTTGACCTGAATACCCTCGTGATATACGGTTTTGCACTTGCCCTTCCAGCCGCTTATCTCACCTACCGCCACTATCATCGTCCATCGCAGGCCGTCCCATCGCTTGCGCCGCAGACACAACAGAAACCCCTCAAATCAATCATGCAAGCCGCCAGAGAGGACCTTGCTCCCCCAAAGGATGACCCGTACACCACAGATGAGCTGAAGAAGTACGATGGGACGGCACCTGGATCCCTGATTTACGTCGCTATCAAGGGTAAGTAGTGAGAACCATGTGTGAAGTAATCTAACTCCTTGTGGATACTACGTAGGCACTATCTTCGACGTTACTCGCAAAGCTGACGTCTACGGCCCCGGTCGCTCGTACGCCATCTTTGCAGGAAAAGACGGTTCAAAGGGACTGGGAATGAGCAGTCTGAAGCCCGAGCACGCTGTGGCGGATTATAGTGGTCTGGATGAACATGATCGCAAGGTTCTTGACGATTGGCACAGCTTCTTTTCGTGAGTTTCCCACATGTCAATAGAAGTTCATCTCTTCATTCATTTCCAGTAAACGATATAACATCGTTGGGAAAGTCGTCGCTACTGCGAGCCTGTAGCCCCCTTGTCCCTGTTTGCTTTGTTATAGCTGAAGTTAAATATTGGACTTGTACGAGTGCCGCTTCGCCTTTCGATGTTTTATATCCCATGTCTTGTTCCTAATTCCCGGAAATATCAATAATATTCCCACATCGTTTACTTGGTTGACATATTTGTGTTTCTCTAACCGTCTCGATCCTGAGGCCTTCAATCGGGCGTCGATTGAGGCATGGGTCGTTCTTGGTGAGGCTCTGTTCTGTGTTTTTTTTTTTTGGGACAATTCTGACGTGTTTTCGTTTTCAGGTTTTCACACACACAACACCCGAAACATTTTCGCTATTCCAGCAGTGCCCCTTTTCGTGATGGTAGCAGTCCTAAGCATCGGTTCCACTCCATCTATCACCGTTTCTTACACGTCCGCTTTCACAAGGGATTGTGTCAAGTTGACTGACAGGGATTGATTCCCTCTGACCGTGGTATATCTCCGCCAATGGCCCCGGGTAGCATCCGAGATTGATTTGGTCCTCTACAGGGTTTGAAGGTGTGCTGGCTCTTTCCTTCATCGCCAATCTTTTTATTTTGAGTCAAATCAATCATCCCAGTAGGCCCACGTCCGGCCCCGAGGATATTTATTTTTGGCATTGTTTCCCTTTCTGTATGCACGGTTTCCAGAGTCGCCTGGTTTACTGCATTGTGATATGCACACAGGGTAGTAGAGTTGCTTCGCAACTTAATCTTGAAACAAGCAGTTATCTGTTGCGCAGCTTTGAGAAGGCGCACAATTCGCTTCGGGGAAGGTGTTCGGGGAAAGCTCTGCCTCCCGAAGCTCATCGTACCTGTGTCCTTGCAGAATATCTCCCTTAGAGGCCATCTCCGCCATTTTTCGCTTCTCGCACTTAAAGGTTGTGATGGCCAGTACAGTTCCTGTGAAGATTGCTACCTGGAGCCCGCTCCTCATCATTCTTCCAGGACCAACTCAAGAAAACTCATTGAACTGCTTCGGACTCTAGATCTTGTTTATTTTTTTTTGTAGATTTACTGGTCCTAACGTTTCGCATCAACACACAGCAGGGACAAAATGGGGGATCTCGATCTGTGGTATAACCCCTTTCAAGGAGACTGGAAATATTTAAATACGAAGGTAAGGCAAACTTCCACCCAACACCTGCATCTTACACTCCTTTCGTCCTTTAGATATGCAGCTACGCAGTACCTCCTTCGTTTTACTTATGGGTATTATATCCACTCGTGCCGCTCTAATCCAAAATGTGGCGGACCTACCTAATGTGAACTTTGATTTCATTATTGTCGGAGGTATGTCTGTCTTGTTACGTTGCTGGACTTCTTCGTGACGTACTATAAACTAGGCGGCACTGCTGGCAACGTTCTCGCCAATCGGCTCACGGAGAATTCGCAGACCCGTGTGCTCGTTTTGGAAGCTGGGCCATCGTAAGTCATGCTGCTTCCTGATGTATCTGCGGTTCTGGAATGACGCGTTTATGACGGCAGGGATGCGGGAGTATTGGAAACGCAGATCCCGTTCTTGGCACCGACGTTGACCCAACCTAGTCCATACGAATGGAACTACACGACCGTGAATCTAACTGGCCTTGGCGGCCGTAGCATTGCGTACCCGAGAGGCCATATCCTCGGAGGCTCTAGCAATACTAGTAAGCTCCAATTTTCATCCATGTGGATACTGAACATTGACATAAAACCTTTCAGATTGGTTGGTCTACACTCGTGGATCGTCTGAGGACTTTGACCGCTATGCCACTGTTACTGGCGACCAAGGATGGTCATGGAACAAGATGCTACCGTATTATAAGAAAAGCGAGAAATGGAACACACCGACCGACAACCACAACATCACTGGACAATTTAATCCTTCGGTCCATGGCTTCAATGGCCTCGCCGGCGTCAGCTTGCCCAATTTCCCGACCCCCATTGACCCAATGGTTATCAATGCGACGCAACAGCTTGGCGGCGAGTTTACTTTCAACCAAGATTATAACTCTGGCAAGCCTCTCGGTGTCGGTGAGTCATCTTCGGTCGCTAGCGCTCGTAATTCCCGAAGGCTGAAGACAATCACAGGTTGGGCGCAGAGCACAACACTCAAAGGACAGCGAAGTAGCTCCTCTTCCGCTTACCTCGCACCGAGCTTCTTGAGAAGACCCAACCTCACGGTCTTGGTGAACACACAAGTTTCACGCCTTCTCAAGACATCTGGTGGGTCTACCCCAACCTTCCTCGGAGTGGAATTTCGCGGATCTAACGGTAAAAGAATATTCTACAGCGCTGATAGAATGGCTAACTGACAGAGGCTATCATAGGGGCCCTAAAGCGACTAACAGCAAAGAAGGAGATTATCCTGTCGGCCGGGTCAGTTGGCACCCCACACATCCTATTGAACTCGGGAATAGGCAGTTCCTCCGCTCTTACTGCAGCTGGCGTCACGCCGATTGTCGACCTGCCCGATGTAGGGGCTAACCTCTCAGATCACCCCGTCATCGGGAACCCTTGGCTCGTAAGCGGCACGGACACATTCGAGACCCTCCGCCGCGACCCCGACGCAGCTTTGGCGGAGTGGATGACCTCGAAGACGGGCCCGTATAGCGACACGATCTTGGATCATATTGGGTTCGCCCGTGTACCGAAGGCATTGGTACCCTCCCCGGATATTGCAGCTGGCCCAAACTCGCCTCACTTCGAGATCATTGTCTCCGTGCGTGTTTCAATCTTTATCAAGAGCAATGTGGTTGACGTTACTTTATGTTTTGCTTCATAGAATGGAGTGCCACCTTTCCTACCGCCCCAAGGCAACTTCCTCGTCCTGACAACCATCGTGGTGTCTCCATCGTCACGAGGATCAATCAAATTGCGATCGAACAACCCCTTCGATGCACCACTCATTGACCCGGGTCTCTTGAGCACTGACTTCGACAAGCTCGCCATGCGCGAAGCCATCAAAAGCACGATGAAGTTTGCTTCGGCTCCTGTCTGGTCCAACTACATCGTCAGCGCCGCCAGTGGCTTGACTTCCACGGAGACTGACGATCAACTTAATGCCTACATCGCGGCCAACGCTGGCACCCTCTTTCATCCAGTGGGGACTGCCAGTATGTCCAAACAGGGTGCCGCGAATGGCGTAGTGGATCCTGATCTGAAACTCAAGAAAGTTCATGGTGTCCGTGTCGTTGATGCCTCTGTTTTGGTAAGCATCGTGTAATTGGTTTAGGTGAAGATATACTGATGTCCATCCCAGCCTTTCGTGCCGTCTGCACACACGGTGGCTCCGGTGTATGCTGTCGCCGAAAGGGCAGCAGATATCATAAAGTCATCCTATTAGTGTCTTACATTCCCTCGAGGACGTTCATCTACCCAAGTACCCTTCTATTAAGTAATAATTGCATCTCCGCTTGGGGAGTGCCAGGACATAATTCATAGTATACCCCCACCATAACCGTTAGCTACGCCTCATTCTTTTCGTTCACACCAGTCAAGTGAGGACGCGGTACCTCACATACGACACAGCCCTCTCAAAAACGTATTTTTTGGCCCAGCAAGGAATTTGTATCCACAGTTCACGGGTTTCAGTGCATGGCTGCGATTGAAAAATGCCATTCCTTTCATTCCTACTGCCGAAATCATTGGTTCTCAGATAAATTAGGAGCAGCAGACCTATATAAATAGCGACCGCTGATCAGTAACGGTGACATGGCCGAGCGGTCTAAGGCGCTAGAATCAGGTGTTGTTAACCCTCATCTAGTCCGAAAGGGCGGGAGTTCGAATCTCCCTGTCATCATGGCGCATTATAAGGCTCTGTTCTTTTTCAGAGCGTCAAGGAAGTCCTTCCAGTTCGCATTTTGCGTAAAAGGTCTGTCAGCGTTATTATTGTTTCCCTCTGATCAGCCGAGCAATAGAAATCTTATTCCACCCCTTGACTCTCTTCGAAGATTTGGATTGCTGTTGTGCGGCCCATGTGCCAAAAGATGTCATGTTCGGATAAGTTTCTCGCGTCGCAGCCGTTTGCAGCCTATTCTCCTCGTTTTCGGGATCGATACGCAAGAGATGAACGCGTTCCATGTCCCCAATACTAGAGGAGAAAGGTAAGGAAAGAAAAGGATACGTCTATTCAACAACGACTCACAGATTCTGGGTGTGACCGTTGATTTTGACAAGCAACCGAGACAAGAAATCGGGTATCGATGGTATTGCCTGCCCGGTTGCTGACTTATACGCATGTTGCATTTGGCTTGAGGTAAGAACATCGCCAACAACTACGAGCACTTTTGAGGTATATCGTTCTGGCGCCTGTCCATCATCAACCATGAGAGATCACCATGACTTCTGATCAACGAGAAACCCACTCTGAAAACGGCGGACGCGACGTGTCCGATATCCTCGACTGCCTAAAAAGAAAGCACACATTGAAGATGAGTCAAGTAAATCGGGTAATGGGAATCCTACGATGAGTTGCACAGTGGTTTCAGACTTGAGTCCGACCTTCAAAACACCGACTGTAATTGAACCGATCGCTCCCTCAAAGTTTTCCATGAAGAATCCAGGGCGCAGTATTCTATATTACAGACAGGTGAGTATCGCAATTGCACTATGAGGCAAGCATATCAACTAACGTCCATTTCAAACCGTGAGTACCTAGTCCACGGATGTGCCGCTCAATCCTGACTTTAGCGAGCCGATCCAGAGTCAAGTTATCGTCGAAGCTTTCGCCACCGCGCTCGACAGAAGAGTAAACAAAACACGAGACGGAATATTCCACTGCAAGGTCCGCGAGAGTCTTTGAATCTGCTCAGTAATTATGTATACCTCGCAATGTCAGTTGTTAACTTACCGTTCCTTGTTTCTCTTCCCCGTCTGCATTTGCTCCAAGACCGGGAAAGGCAAGCGCACAGAAAATGCCCCAGACACCGCCCTTTTCCTTGGCTTTTTCGAATATCTTTCGTAGGGAAGGTTCGTCATCAAGGTCGCCTTCTAAAACATCAATAAATTCATCTGAATCGAAGAGCCGAGATTAGTGCATTCCCCTGTCTCCCTGTTGCACCAGTGACAAGAATGACTTTGGTGCTCATGGCTTTTCTCGGGAAAGAATGAACAGCAGGTATGATCTTCCGGAGTTACAAATCCAGATGGACCTTATGGGGGGACATTACAGTTGCATGACGCTCGGCGATTCCCGAGGCGCACAACAAGAAGTGTGAACAACAAGTTTGGATCCAACGAACAAATATGACCCTGATCAACCCATAGGAACTCTCACCGCTTCCAATTCTGTTAGATGCGGCTGGTTGCTCTTGAATCCACTGCACTGCTCGGTTGAGAATCAACAGAATCAACTGGGAACGCAACTCTTGTAGCCAGATATCTTGACCAGCGTCTTTGCTTTTTGACTTGATTTATCTGCGCATACTGCCGCCATGCCGATTTCTCATCACACTTGCTTGCGGGCGTTCCGTATAGACAAATCCGCGCCCTATACGACAAGGGAACCATCAAAGTGCACCAAGCTTTCTCGTGTGAGATTGCTATATCAGCAGTCGAACATCAGAAACTATCTGCTTCGTGTTCAAATTTTCCCGTATGACTTGGATCCAAGCTGGTGTTGTTACAAATCCAGATGGACTTCTGGGGGGGCATGACAGTTGCATGACAGTTTGGATCAATGAACAAATATGACCCCTGATCAACTCATAGGAACTCTTTTAACGCTTCCAATTCTGTTAGATGCGGCTGGTTGTTCTTGAATCCCCTGCACTGCTCGGTTGAGAATCAACAGAATCAACTGGGAACGCAACTCTTGTAGTCAGATATCTTGATCAGCGTCTCTTGCTTTTTGACTTGATTTATCTGCGCATACTGCCGCCATGCCGATTTCTCAGTCACACTTGCTTGTGGGCGTTCCGTATAGACAAATCCGCGCCCTTATACATAATACGGCAAGGAAACCATCACAGTGTACCAAGCTTTCTCGTCTGATATTGCTATATCAGCAGTCGAACATCAGAAACTATCTGCTTCGCCGGCGTTCAAATTTTCCCGTATGACTTGGATCCAAGCTGGTGTTGTTACAAATCCAGATGGACTTCTGGGGGGGCATGACAGTTGCATGACAGTTTTGATCAATGAACAAATATGACCCCTGATCAACCTCATAGGAACTCTTTTAACGCTTCCAATTCTGTTAGATGCGGCTGGTTGCTCTTGAATCCACTGCACTGCTCGGTTGAGAATGAAACAGAATCAACTGGGAACGCAACTCTTGTAGCCAGATATCTTGACCAGCGTCTTTGCTTTTTGACTTGATTTATCTGCGCATACTGCCGCCATGCCGATTTCTCATCACACTTGCTTGCGGGCGTTCCGTATAGACAAATCCGCGCCCTATACGACAAGGGAACCATCACAGTGCACCAAGCTTTCTCGTCTGATATTGCTATATCAGCAGTCTAACATCAGAAACTATCTGCTTCGCGTTCAAATTTTCCCGTATGACTTGGATCAAACCAAGCTGCTGTTGGATGATGTAGGTGCTACTCACGCAACCAACTTTCATCCCGGTTTTCTGACATTCTTTGATGATAGGTATCGCGCTGGATATTCTCACAAGGATAAGGGCCAATCCCATATTCTGGCGCTTAAGATGAAGCACGAACGCTTTCATCAGTTGCTCGCAGCTGCGGAAGAAGACAATATGCGACTTGTGCGCGTGCAATGGGATCCCGAAAGGACGCCGGCGCTGGAAGTCCTCCCCTACAGGAGCATTCAGATCGGGATATCAAATCAGTTGAGCAGGAAATGGGTCGATGAGTGGATCGTGAGTATCGAAGACGTGACTTCAATGGCCACTGCCTTGAAGAAAACGATTGATTCCAATCACCTGGACGCTGGACGATTTGATGGCCAGGGTCCTTGCTCCTCGAGAGGATGTTTACGATGTGTCAGAGGAATTGCGGCTGACGTTGAAGATGGAGAACTTTGTGGACGAACTTTGAACACTTGCCAGTACATCATCATCATCTATTCATCCCGCAGCTCATCAGAAAATACGCACAGGTCTGGACCGCCCAAGAATCCATTTCAGTTTGTCAATTACCATAAAATCACTAAGGTGACACCCGTTAACATATTTTTTGATGCATTGAAAGGAAGGGAGTCGACTTTCTGATGCACCCGCTAGTTCGATGGCCGTTCGGAGTGCCCCAGTACAAGCCCAGTTTATCCACCGATCATTATGATGTGCGATTCAGAATTGCAGTGATCATCTCTGAACTCCCACAGTTTGACCACAAGGAAATGCTTCTGAATGAAATCTTCAACGCTATTCCTAGTCACTACCTACCAGTTTCTCGATGACCCGCCCTGGTGCGCTATCGCTGGTTTCTTGGGTGGCGATCACCTAGATTCAAATCAGGCACTCAGGGCCCACCTCAATCTCGATGCCGTTTTAATAATCTGTAAGTGAATCCATTCCGATATGAGCCTATATATATGCTCATGAGATGGCATTGATGACACGTTTCTGCCCCATTCTTTATTCTTTCAGCGCCCGACGTGTATAGGCATCCTTTTTATCCTTCGGGTCCACATGGATTCCCCCATTGAAAACATCCTGGAAAGCCTGAGTGTCTACTCAGCAGTTCGTTACACTAATGGTAAGTTCACATCTATGGCAGGCAGTATGATTCCAATCTTCTGGATAGTCGCGTTTCTGGTGAGTCCAGATTGTTGCATGTCCCAACATTGCTGAATTAATGGCTCAACGATCAGATGCTTCTCGTCTACGATCACCTCCTCACCTTCGGCGATGAGGTTTTGTACACATTTATTTCCCTCTCGATGGGCGCTGAAACGGATGTCTAGGTCTCGACAGTGTGGACGTAAGCTCGTATACCCTTTCATCATACAAATACCAATCTCGTTCCACTTGATTTTAGACTTCCATGGCGGCCTCCGAAGATCTCATTTCTCGTCAACCGATATCTCATTCCTCCCATGCTAATGTCAGTGTAGTTCTTTGCCCCTCTGACTCTCGGAGTAAGCTGACGTTCAACCAAGGTTCGATGGACTGAGTGTGTACCATTATCTGTCATTGTCGGCTGAGTTAACTCATGGACTTACCGCAGCGCCATCAATACGTCTAGGCGAAAATGTACGTCATCTGTGCAGGAACGTATCAGCGTATGGTCGGCTTACTCTGCCAATTTTAGACGTACGTCGCCTGAGCATCAGGAGGCATGGATCTTACCACCCTCATAGTTGTAATTTCATAGCAAAATGGACTGCGTGGTATGCCCAGCGAAGAAACTTTACGTCTGCATCTGACACATTAGCCCAGGCCAACGGTTCTGTCGCTTGCTTCAGTCGATGTTATACTCATTCTTCGAATATCTATCATATGTGAGTACTTAACGGCAATCCTTCAAAGCAGATGTCCCCTTACAAAGAGATCTGTCAGATGGGCAACGCAAGGTATATCATTTTAATTCATACTTCTTAGAGGAGACAAATGAATGCCCCCCTCTTCATTACTTCCCAGAGAGTTACCTATAGTATTATCGGATTTTTCTTGTGTGAGCTGATCGTTATTTATTAACATTGTTAAAGGACCCCTTACTCAAGAAGCTGTCAACGACAGGCACTCTTGGAACCTGGATTGGTCTTTGCGTGGAGATTATGACCCATACTTCTTGTACGTTCTTCAAAGACCCACACGGTACTCATCGAATTGCCTAAACTTGTCCATTCAAATCAGCCACGTCGGGAGGGGACGTCTTTACTGGTTGC